TTCTTAGTAGACCGACCATCCAAATGTTGTGGTTCGGAATTTGTATATACGCAAGCTTATCTTGAAAATCTCGTAAGCGAAATGCACGCATCTGTCAAATACCTTGTGTTCTATGATGACTACCGCCACATTTATTTATTGCATATGATATTGTAAATGCCGCAACCCACCTTGAGATGTGAGTTCTAAGGTCTCAGTACAGTTACAACGGCTGCCCCACCCTTCAACCCGAAACGCATTATTGCTTTCTGGCAGAAATAGGCAAGATGATGGTACCTACCCGTGCGGACTCACAACACGTCCTACCGCCAGTAAGTGCACTCTATTAATTTAAATTTGGATATGTATATTATATTTATTCATAATCGATGATATTATTTCGAGATTTTGATGGCTACCGCGGAGCAGTCTTGTATTTCCGGCTTAAAGGGTAAGTTAAGGCGCTAAGTTTCCTAGTTCTGTTTCAGAACGAGGAAACTTAATAGGCCGGGAGACCACCTTCTTTGATACCTCCACATATCAGTAATGCATGCCGAAGAGGAACAGCTGTTGTACTGTACAATTAAGACTTAGACCTCATGTCTCAAGGTGAGCAACGCCAATTAATTTCATGCTGCCTATGAACTCTAATAACCTTTTAACAGCAGACGGACTGTAAGCTGGTTCATCAATCTGTGTCATACAATTAAAAGCAATTAAGGCTTCCTTCAAACGGAAACGCGCGACTGCTTGGTGGCACAAATGAGTGGCATGGTTACACCAGTCAGTGACGATCGCTATCATCAGACTGGTTCGTTGCTGGACATGAGCTTCTTCTGATTTGCCAATTACGTACCGACCTCTTCGGTATGTATATCTCTTTGTATGATAACTTTTTAGTTTCATCGTATTTTAAGTGATGGCGGTGTTTTTGATGGCGTAAAAAAATGTTGACTACAATATTACAGCTTTGGCTCTCAAAATAACATCCGTCTAAATGTCACAATCGTTATTGTTATCATTCTCTAAGGCGAAAGCGTATACTGTCTGTCAACAAGGCCTCATTATTATGCCCCAAACTTTTCGACTTCAAAGACACCGTCTCTGTTTGTATAGCTGATTCCCTTCTCAAATAATTACCAAAATTATGGGGAAGGTATTTTACGCTTCCGTAAATAAATGATGACACGAACTTACCTGCTATCTTAGAATTTATCAGCGCATACAGCATGTTGTTTTACGCGCTCATTTAGATATACGATGATAAAATTAAGCAAGAAAAGTTCGTAAAGCTTCATTAGTTTTCAAAACTTCGATATAAAGAGTTCCACAAAATAAAAGGCGTAAGCTAATGTTTGTACCTAAAATTGCCATGGATATTTTTGTATATTTTATATCTGATTTATTTAATGAATATTAAAATTTGTTATACGATATTTGAGAAGTAATTCAAACAGTATCGTGCTATGTAACATTGAACTCAGGGTAATTTGGACCATAGAACGTCGGACGTTCTAATATATCATAAACGCCAAAATAAAACCATAAAGACAGTTTTAATTAATCCAATATGATTCAGTGACAGTGAAAAATCTACAATTGCTATTTTAAAATTACAAATATGATTTTTAGATTGAGGACTTTTACATATTGTAAACAGGGATGCTTTATAAGTTACCAATGTCTGTAGGATTGTTTTCACTCAATGGTAAAGGAAAAGGCACATACCTTAGGCTTTGCGTAAAATTGCATGAGCCATTTGGAAAAATATTTGTTTCTATTACATTTTCAAACACCCTGTACACATTACAAAGATGTAAACAAACTCATAGTGTAGCATAGATATTCATAGCTTCCGGGCATAGTAAACGTCGTGTATCACACGATTTCAACTAAAACTTTCTAGTTATACGACAGAATGTTAATATAACTTTCTCATATCTATTAGCTGAAGGCCTTACCTAGCGATTAATGACCTTTACTACTACATAGCGCTTAGGGTTCAATTCCAGATCTGAGCCGACATTTTTGTTAAATGTATCCGGAGTTTGGATGCTTATCGACGCTTGAAAGGCAAACGTGACTAAGCGGCAATAACTGCTTTGTACATAAATGATAGGCAATAACCATATTCGATGCGCAAAAAAATTATATTTCTATATAGGTCTATTAAAATCATTTCAATCCTACAGCTAGATTCGTTAAAATAGTTTTTTTTTTCAGGTATTTCAGCTTTAAATTAGTCTACTGTAAGGTTCACGCATTGTCGCTTAGTCACGTTTGCCTTTCAAGCGTCGATATATTCTTATTTCTACTCTGTCTTGTTTGTTGAGCTATTAATTAGGATGCATTTTTTTTAAATCTCCAAGATTGTACTAAAACTACTTATTGGGAAAAAAAACAAGAATGAAGAGAGCGTGTATGCTAAAGACTTAGATTTAAGTCACTAAAACTAGTAAGATATCTTATGATCTTTTCAAACGTCAGCGCGTTTGATATGATCATTTTGAGTTGCCTTTTTCAGACCTGCCACTCGACACTCATCACTCGACTGTTTCACGTATAATACCAACGAACCTCAGGCACCTTTTATCGATACTCCAAGCATCACCAGTTCCGCTAGAGATAGATATCTTACTTAAGTATTCAATTCTAAATACATACGGTCGTAATAGAGATAGTATAAAGCAAATTTCTTCTTTTCTTACTGGTGGTAGGACCGCTTGTGAGTTCGCGCGGGTAGGTACCACCGCCCTGCCTATTTCTGCCGTGAAGCAGTGATGCGTTTCGGTTTGAAGGGTGGGGCAGCCGTTGTAACTATACTGAGACCTTAGAACTTATATCTCAAGGTGGGTGGCGCATTTCATTGTAGATGTCCATGGGCTCCAGTAACCACTTAACATCAGGTGGGCTGTGAGCTCGTCCACCCATCTAGGCAATAAAAAAAAAAAACATGTGCATTTAATGAACAATAGTCAACATCGTGTGTGTGATTTTTCATTTAGCGTTATTTAGAATTATTGTGCATTTGAATTTATGTTGATAAAATTACTTTTACACAGGCTATATATATTTTTAAAAGCTTTTTAGTGAGATTTAAAACCTGGAGGGTGTATTTTTTTAATTATTATACTTTTTTGTAAAATATGTGAAGTTGCATTATTTTTGTTCAGTTTCCGCGAAACCATGTGTGTGGGCCTAACAATAAGCTTTAATTAGAAAGAAACTATAAAAAAGTCGCAATTCGATCAATTTTCATATTATATTGGTTAATAAAATTCATGAAACTAAAAGTTTAAACACGAAGCTTACAAATTTTAAAATTATTTTCATAGAGCATTGAATTTATGTTACTAGATTAATTTAAAAATAAAAAAAATTAAACTGCTAAAATAAAACGTCCGCTCCCTACAAACGCATACGGACTGCAACCCCCTTATTATTAGGAGTTTTCCCGAAAATTCCCTCCGGTTTTCATTAGCAGGGGTGCGTTTTAGTGACTTATGCAAACGGGAAGGGTGCGTCGGGCAACGTGCAGCGCGCCGAACCGATGTGTTTTATTTAAATTTATAAGTTTGCCAATTACGTACGGACATGTTTTTTTCTTTAATTATAGATAAGAGGAAGGTACTGTCAACGTTGCCCAATATGACTGGTGGTAGGACGTCTTGTGAGTCCGCACGGGTAGATACCACTACCCTGCTTATTTCTGCCGTGAAGCAGTAATGCGTTTCGGTTTGAAGGGTGGGGCAGCCGTTGTAACTATGCTGAGACCTTAGAACTTATATCTCAAGATGGGTGGCGCATTTACGTTGTAGATGTCTATGGGCTCCAGTAACCACTTAATACCAGGTGGGCTGTGAGCTCATCCACCCATCTAAGCAATAAAAAAAAGGTAAGTAAAATTTTATACTTTTTTTGATATGCTATGGAGTTATATTATCAAAGAAAGGGTTCATTGTCCATCAAAAAATTCCTTACGGAATACGGCACCGTTAGCAGAACAACAAAGATATTTATAATGTTGTGATTAAAGCGAAGTTGGTAAGCTCTCGTAGGATTTGCATCAAACAATATTGAAGCAACAATAAATGACTTACAAACAACCGAAACACCATTCAGTATTTTAGGGAGAATATTGTTGTTTTTTAGACCGTATTTGTAACTTTAAATTGTTTGAGAGACAAACATTCTAAAACGCAACTTGACGTCCCTATAACTATTTAAATGGTTTATATGCTAAGCTAACTATACTAAACTAATGATTTACATACTAAGCCATTAGCTGTGAATATACGTGGAAGACACATTACTATAGTAATTGTCGTATCTCAAATTAGCGACCAACCCTATTGATCCGCAGGCAGCGGCTTGGCTCTGCCCCTGGCAATACTGAAGTCCATTGGCGACGGTAACCACTCACCATCAGGCCGTATTCTCGTCTGTCTACAAGGGCAATAAAAAAAATGTGGTGTGTTTTTTATAGTCGCATCAGGCTTCTGCAGCGTAGTCTCATGCATTCTCTATGATGGATGGGAGAGCTCCTATGTAATACTGGTGACTTTCAAACTCATATATCATTAAGGTTTGTGGAAGTTATGCTGTGGCTTTTTTTTTAAGAAAGTAGTATTACTGATGTCCCGGAAACCTTTCCATTTTCAGTGAACTACGGTGACTGATATTAAAATACACATTAACATTTACAAAGTGTGTCGACATCACTATAGCACTACGTCGATTTATCTTTAGTTCTACAGTCAATTAATTGAAAAATCTATAGTGAATTGAGTAAGGCTTAAAGTCGCATAACACATTTGTATCGAAGTCGTTTTAAAATTCGGAACACTTCGTACATAATCAATGGCCCTTGATTGTCAAAATATTGACTGAATGGTATTCATGTTGAATTTCTTTTCATACTAAGGGCACCTAGTTTGAAAAAAGGTACTTAATTAAAAAAAAGTACCTTTAAATGATTTTCCCAAATTAAAAACTATGATGTTTCAAAATGTTTTACGAAACTTTTCGATAAAACCACTGCAAGAAAACAAAAAGTCTATGCTTCTTCCAACCGTACCAATAAATGGCTGACTTGATTCATAAAAAATCTTTTGAAGAAACTTTGATGTCCTGTAAGTCTAGACGAGATGAGAGGCCCCTGTCTGAAGCTTCAAAGTTTTAAGTGCTTTTTAGTTCCAAAAAGGGCTAAATTGAAGCTACCTGTACAATGCGAAGCGAATTGAGCGCTTTCAAAGTTTCAAGGAGAAATTTTACTTACGATTCTTAAGTTCGCATTATTTACCTGAAACAAACGGAAATGGTAATTAGTATTTTATATAGTTATATTTTTTTGTCTACCTTCAAAATGCGTTTATTGGTGGTATATGCGTGGTGAGTATGTCGTGCGTCAGTACTGTATCACCAAGCTACCTATATTATTCTACCGATGCTACATTCACCGAGCGAGGTGAGGTCACGGGGCTCTAATCTGGAGACGTTGCTAACACTAGCCCTAGCAAGAGCCGTGCTTCGCAGAATATACCACCTGATCGGAAACGCGACCCACTGAGAAGATCCGGCGAGAAACTCAGTGGGCTGTGTCTCTGGATTAGTTTACTCGCCGAACTCTTCGTTGTAAGCGACGGGACTAAGCTATCTATTTCTGTTACGAAGCACCTAGGCGTTCTGGTTTAAAGGTTAAGGTTCCTCTTATCTTATACCTTTAAACGAGCAATTCTTGTATATTAATATATACATATATAATCTGAATCTCGGAAACGGCTCCAACGATTTTCATAAAATTTAGTATACAGGGGATTTCGGGGGCGATAAATCGATCTAGCTACGATTTATTTTCAAAAAATGTTGTTTTATTCGTGTTTTCAATAATCAACCCTTCCCGACATTTATTGGCGAATAATTATAATATTTTTCTTAATTGAGGGCAACTAGCCGCTCTAAAGACACAACAAGATGGCGTTATCAAAAAAACCATCATCATTTACTTATTAATTAAGGATCCTAAGCAATCGAGGCACCAGTTAACTATCTCAAGATAGGCGATAGTTCTGACGTTGTAGTGTGTCCTTGGCTTTTTGGTGGTAACATGATGTATCAAGTTGTGCGAATTTTGTTTATTCAGGCTTAAACTTGTAATAGTAATGGTGGCTTATTAGCCATTTAGAATCGGTGAAAATGCACGATTATTGGAAAATGAAACAAATCGCTGGATGTGGCTTTTGCAGGTTCTTCTAAAAAGTTCATCGAACTTTGAGCGTTGTCTGGTTTCACATTAATGCAGTCATAAATTTTGCTTTTCATTTTTCCATTCTTAATAATTCGATATTCAAAATTAAAATAACCGATATTCGATTAACGAGATAACCAAAATCGATATTGAATCATTAAAATATTTTCAATCATGTATCTATGTATATACGAACGCGTAAATTTCAATCACTCAACCTCGAAACTTTGCAACATTTTAATGAAAAATTTCATACTCGTCAGAAAGTAGACATCGAATAACGTACTCTCCGGCATCGATACAAAATCATAATATTCAACAATTATACAGCCATACACATAAGGTTCAAAATCCTTTAAATGAATTCTAGAGTAATTCAGAGTTCGCCCCGAGCATTCAATGAACAGTCAAAGGGCGTACGTACAATGAAAAGTTTATTCAAAATTCCGGGTACGGCTATTTAAAAAAAAACTCATTTTCATTTATACGTATAGATTTTAAACTGACGTATTTTTATTACTAGTGGCCCCGCATTAGTCGAGATTCGACTATAATTAATTAAAATTATAAGTTTAAACATTATTATGGTTCTATTGTCAAACACTATTATATTTCGATTATAATCATAGTATTCGCTAAAACTGCACTACAGATCAATAATACTATAGACAAACAATATTAATCTATTTTCAATTCGACCACAGACTTTTTAAGCAATAACAAAAGTTTCCCAATTGACAGTAAACAAAGAGTACATTTTTATGTATGTGTTGTGTCAAATACATGGTAGCGTGTGTAATGTTTTCTTTATTGATTTAAAGTATCTTTTATGCATTATTTTAAAAAAATATTAGCATTGTGCACTCCTTCTCTATATTCTCTATAAGTGTGAGATATTTCATACTCCTCCGTCCGCGCAATTTTCGTAAAAAGGGGTACAAAGTTTTTGCTTCACGTATTAATATATTATAGGTCATTGTAATTAAAATTTATTTTACGATTTAATTTCACGTTTTTTTATTGTCATATTATTTTCGACAAATACAGTTTTCGTGGTCATGGTTGGCTAACTGTTTACAAAGTAGTGTAAAGTAATTATGTTTACGATTCGTCGATTAGTGATTAAGCTCACTGTTCATCTAATTAAGCGGTTTGTAATGTTAATAGTTGCCTATAATCTTTTCCCGGTACTGAACATACGCTGTTACAGTGCTAAGTACTTTGTAAGTGTACGCATACTTTATACGAAGAAATGATGATTCCAATAATTATGACAGGAAGCAGGGGGGCTCCACTGGTCGAGTTTACCGGACAATTGGGACCCTGGGTGGTCTCAATTCAGTGAATATTGTGTGTGGGAATAATTCAAACGTTTGATTGGCTACAATGAGAGTAATTTCTCATGAATCAATGACCGATGAAGAAACATCATACTTTTGTCAGCATATTGTTTGGAATGTTCATCTTACTTAATAATTCAAGCATTGGTATTTTCAACTATATGTCAACCTAATAGAAGAGCAAATATTTCTATGTGCTACAAAAATAGTTCAGGAAGTGAGACCAGTTTGACTAGTTATGTTCGTGTCAATGATTAAAAATATGGTGAAACAGGTATTTGTCTAGTGATCCACATACCAATACGGATCTCCACAAAATTCGGCATTAATATTAAATATTCTTAGATAACTCATATCGAAAGTAAAATTTTGAAGAAAAAAAATCACAACTCTCCTCCAATGAAAAGCCACATTTCGGATAATAACATTATTGGAAATGAAATTTTGAACTAGAATATACACATATCAGGATTATTCACATAAAAAGGAGGGTGGCCCGCGGCTATTACGATCAAGTCGTTGTCAAATGCAAATCAAGCGGGGACTGTCTCATCCGGGAACTGAAATATGGCTCCCATAAACAGGGCCTGCAACAGTTCAACACACCTGACGCTCATGGTCACCCTATTTGGATTAATGAGGTTTTTCTGGGGTTCCTTAGGCAGCTACAATATTTTATATGATTTTTCATGATATTATTATATGTTTTTTTTTGGAAAATATCCGCAGAGTAAATAGTTTTTATTTAGTTCAATTTGATTGCTCTAGACGGATGAACAAACTAACAGTTCACTTATTATTGAGTGATTACCGATTAAAATCGGAAAGAATGAACCGGAGACAGTTTTAGTCTGTGTGGTTATTGCGGAAAATAGAACCACCTCGTCTTTTCGATTTAGCGTCGTAGAAGGCGAGTTAGTGTTTCACCATATAGATATTTGCGATAAATATATATTTTAATATCATTCAAGAACCTTAAATCATCAACACAAAAAAAACAAATCGGGTAGAAGTAACACACGATTATCTAGCTGTATGGAAACCATAGATTGGTATACATACATATATAGATATTAAACACCCACAAAAAGATCCAACGAACCTTTTAATAACCCAATTGTTTGCCCAATGTGGGAACCGACCCTCGGCCCAGAAGTCAGGGGCGCTAAATGCTACACCACCGAGTCAGTCAGTCAGCCAAACAGTCCCATAATTTCTATTTCTTAATTAAACTGAAATGGCAGGTAATATATTTAAATTAGACTCATTCCTTCTTTAATTTAGATCCGTTGTTGCATGATTAATACGGTCTTTAAACAGACGCCGCACAGTGTAAATTTAATTCAGTTACTAAATTTTTCACGTGTGTAGAAAACTAGACGCGAACGGGCAAGAGAGAGACATTTTGACTCTGATAGTGGGGGTGGTTGTAAAATATAAAAACAACTGTCAGTTAGTTATAAAGCTAAAAAAGTAGACGCTACTAAGAATAATTCTTAAAATATCTAAGAACGCGTTAATAGTCCGTGACCAAGCAAACTGTCTACAGTTATTTTAATATTCGAAACTTATCACGTCACTATTCACGAACTATAAAATGCTGCTAAAGAGTTTGGTAAATTGGATGAAGATTTCGCAGATAATTTCTTTATTTTAATGATATTTGTTATGAATGGTCTAAATGAAACAGAGGATGACAAGCCCACAGTGGACGTGGGTATAATTAACGAAGTCTTAAGTCTTAATGGGAACGCCACTCACTTCCAGTCATGAAGTTGAAGTTCCAGTTGTATTGTAACAGCAATTATCCTACACTTTAAACCAGACGCTTGACTACTTTGTGGGAGATATTAGGACGAACGGTGATACTTACCTATGAGGCTTCATAATACGCCCTACAATGATATTAATACTCTTAATTAAAAGTTACTCAATTACTCTTGAAAAAAATTTATCGGATGGTCCCTTAAAAATAAATATATATAGAATATTACCTAGAATGTCGGCGGGCATTTAATATACAACCTGGTACATGCAAAATAAACATTTATTTCATTAGTAATTAAAGCGCAAAAGGATTTTCCATTTAAACATTAGTAATGTTAGAAACAAAAGCGTAATGTCGTATTTAAATTTAATAGCGCTTATTCTGGTGGTTATGAAGATCGTCGGAAGTTCTCCTAAGCTTTGTATTAGAGATGGGACGAATATTCGGTGAATCTGACTCTGAATCAAATGATTCATTTCTTTGTTGTTTTTATTAAGGTTAGATTTTTCGCATTCGTTTTTTGTTTTTTTTATAACTTATTGTTCGGCGTGAATGAGCAACTAGTGTCATTTTTCCATTATAACTGCAATATGAATACATACTAAATATATCAGATTAATAAATCTAATTTAACAATTTATGGTCCTTCGAACCTGATTTTTACTCATTAACGTGGATCGGCAGATGGTCTCAACGCCACGATACGAAAAATCCGTCAAATCTAAATATTTATTGAAATGCTTACCTTACTCATTAAATGCGTGATAGCTTTTTGGCAGAGATAAGCGACACAGTATCATTGTAAGATTTACAAGACTAGTTTTTAAATAATTAAGCAAATGACGATGCTTGTACTACGGTGTACTGGAAAGAAATAGCAGTAGCCGGCCAAGGTCGTATACTTTCTTTACCATCATTAGAATCATTTTCTAGTAAATACCAATATA